TCTTCTCTATCTTCCTGTATTCTTTCCTATATTGGCACCATAATGTGGAAAATAGATTAAATGCTCAGTCAGAGTGGACTGACTAATACAGCGGACTGATTGTTCGTGGATTCAGGGAGTGACTTTTGTAAGAAATGAATATGGAAGAGGAAACGGCCTTCATTCCTCCTTAACTGCCTCTTCATCGAACAGTGTAAGATGCTGACTCTCAGGTCATGCGATTTGCAAAGAGACTAACTGGACTGCCTTTGTGTTGACACACGTAACTGTTTCTAAAGTGAGCTGGTACCCAACACTCTGCCACTCCACAGCTTATCAGCCATTGTCTTTTAAATATTTTTTTTGGTTGTTCCTGGATTGAAGAATACCCAAAGTGTGTATTTTTATTCCCGATGCCGTGTGACTGTGTATCCTGCAAACTTCCCTTTCTTTGCTGTTAATTTTCCCTTCAGTGACTTGTAAGTCCTTCTATGCCAGCTGCATTACCTTGTCAGCTTTTCTGTTAGCTCAGCATGATGTCTTCTGTGCTGACGTGCTTAGTGAAACACCGCTGCCGATTATGTGCCCGCTTTGGTTTCATCTCAAGCGGATAGAGATCTAACGTGAAGAATCAAGACGCCCTCTGAAGTCTGCAAAGAATGAATCTTCATATTGTGAATTTTTTAGACATGAAGAATGACTCTGCTTATGGGAAAAGGAACAAGTGAAAGTAGCTCTAGATAAAATACTCGGTTTATGCTTTTTTCTAGCCTGTGATGAAAAGCTGTGTTGGCAGTTTCTTTCTGTCCTTGCAAGTATTTTTATTCTGTCTCTCTCCTGTGAGGTGCCCTACCAGAAACAATTGGTTTCCTCCTTAGCCGGTAGGTACTGGCAGTTAGAGAAAAAACAGAACCAGTATTTCTCCAAACTGAAACAGTAGTTTTTCAAGGTTTGTTTTTCCCACTTCTGGATCGAGAATGGAAGAAAGATGAATGCTAACAGCTCATTCCCAGCTATGCTTTAACTTTTTATTCCTTAAAGACAGTTGTAATATTTTCCTTGTGGGAATGGGAAGAGATGCTTTATCCAATACCTACAAGCTGGCATCTCTCTGTACTAGACCAACCACCTGTTAAAAGAAAGTTTTCATTCCTAATGCCCCTTGTTCCTTGTTTTGTAGACTTTTATAGTCCCTATGCAATTACTTTCAGTTTTTTCCCCAGGTGTAATTATTGAGATTATCACTGCATATTTAAATTTTCAAAGTATCCTGCAGACATTAAAAACCAAGAAGAAGAGTCATAAAGAGATTTATTAATTTGCAGTTGGAAGTATGCAGTAGTTGCATGAGATATAAGCATGGGAAGATAGGAGACATTTTACATCAAGGTTTTTTAAAACTGGTATTTTCATTTCTGGCTTTGGTACAGTGGCCTGCTTCATTTAATGAAATTCATTCCCATGCGTACAGTATTAGTTTTCTTTGTTCTTTCTGCTTGTAGGATGACTCGCATCTTTGCTGGAACACTGTTATGTCAAATCCACCGGTATGTGGTGTGGCTGACCCCGCAAGCTTTAAAAGATGCACAGGCAATGGTTCTCCAGATTGTTTTAAAGCATATTATTTGCCACAGACTCCAGCCTTCATTTCTGTTAAAACTTCTCTGTACAGTGTATATGTCCTTGGTTTATTTTCTTCTGTCTTTTATTTTATTTTTTTGGTATCTGTAGTTTTGTACAATATTTGTCAGATACTGGCTTGATGGTAGTATATAGCAGTGATGTTAGTTTTTGTGTTTGTAAATAAAGAGGTATGTTTTATTTCCTAAAGTCAATGGGTAAGTTTTGGCTTTTCCATACTTCCGTGATTGCTTATATCGTGACAATGTTTAGGAATCCTACGATACAGCTCTGCTGCAAACACCAACATACTGTGCCTTCACCACAGCTGGTGTGGTGGTGTTTGGTTGGTTTTTTTAGTGTGGCGTTTTGTTGATGATCTCTTTTCAAGAGGCAGGAGTAAATCTGTAGTCTAATAAAACCCCTGTATCCTGAAGCCCAGCCTCAGCACTCCGAGACAGACGTGCGAAAGGGGAGCTGAACACAAAGCGTGCTGGTGTAGAGTGCACCTCCAGGGAAGTTGAATGTGGAAAATTGCATATGCTAGATCTTCAGAAGTCTTCATTTTAATAAATTAAGGATTGTTAGGTAGAAATATGGATATTCATTAAGCAGAGCTGTTGAAAAACATGGCAGTCCAAATCCTTTCTGCAATCCATGATTCAGCTGCTGGTGAGGAGACACTGATAATTGAACTGGCTTGACCACGGTTCAGTCATGCCATCAATAATAAGTAACTTTGATTTTTTTTTTTCATGAGGAACTTTTTTAGTAGTGCATTATTCTTTTGGGATGCTTGAGCACTAAGTGAATTATTCTGGGTGTACGAGTGGTTTCTGTTCTACAGATGCATCGACTGAACACGGAGATTTTTGGCTCGGGTTGCTCTTCAGAGGCGGTGGCTGTATGCGACGCAGAGCACGGGGCTCAGGGTCGCAGCTCCTCCAAGTGATGCCGTGAGGCCAGTGCTGTCGAATCCCTTCTGAGTCTGACATTAGATGTCAAGAGCCTAATATGATGCTTTTAACGCTGAGTCCTCATCTCAGAGGACTCGCTTTGGCTTCGGAGTTAAGGGAGTTCCTTGTTCCCCCTCAGAAGGTCTGGGGCCACGTTCTGACCCAGGCAGCCGGACTGTGACATCGGCACCGCTCCCGGGGAACACGGGCTCATGGAGACGTGACTTCGCTCAGCCCTGCGTAGAGATGGATATCATCAGTGATAAAATACTGTTCAGCTTCCCTCGTCAGTGCCGTCAGTCTGTCTAGAGGGTGAAATCATGTTTTTGTGATCTTGGTAATTTGGGGAGTACTTTAGATTTTGGGATACGCGTATGAACTGTACAGGTGCTGCATAAGGAATTAGGATTTCCTTCTGTTCAACAGCGTCATTTTAAGGGTTGCAGTAATGATTACTTATATTGCTTTATAGTTTGTTGGGAAAGTTAAACTGGAACTGTACTTCTTTACAGTGGAAATAAATCTAAAATAGTATGTAAAATCTTACAGAGAAGGGAGGACTTCATCTTTTTTAAAATGTTCAAATAGATCCCAATTGCGGGAATGTAGTGGATTAAAACATTCTGTTGCTGTGTTACAAGAACTGGAATTCATGATTCACACTCTGACCGACATAGTAACATGTTGCATCTTCTTTAGCAGTGTTGTACTTCAAGCCTGTCTTGTTGGAGGATTTTTCCTAACAGAAGGATTGTGTCTTGAAGATGATGCGATTTCAGAAATACTTAGTTTGAAGGTTTACAAAGAATGATTTGTGGGTTTGGGTTTTTTTGACTACTGAATTTGCACGGCTTTAGAAAGCTGCATGTCTGATTTGATAAGCCCAATATGAAGTCCTTGGGGAACAGCCACATCCTTGGGATATTACTTTGTGCTTTCTATGTACGGTTGGTAGTTTCCTTTGGAAAAGTTACCATCCCAGCAGAGCTGAAGTCAGCTGTAGCGAAAGTTGCAGTCAACGCCACATCCTGCAGCGTCACCTGTGGGCTGGGCTTCAAACTGGAGGAGATGTGCGAGATCACTCCCACCGGAGAGAGGAGGAATTGTACCGTGCGCAGGTCTGGCTGCCTGACCAACTGGGTTTGTGGCTTACTCCACTTCACCGTCCCGGTGGGCAAACCCTTCCAGTTCAGCTGCCTGACCTCGGACACAGTCGGCTTTGGTAACCAAACATATGGCTATACGTGGAGGCTTGCCCAAGGCCTTGTCACCACAAAGGATACACTGTTCAGACCTTTCAAAAATCCCAATCCTGTCGTCAGATTTTCCCCTATCAGGGAGTCTGATGCAGGGACTTACCGATGTGATGTGCAGATGTTGAAGATATTCAAAGTCATCAAGAGGGTCTACTTTGGGGTCAGAGTGATCAAAAGTGACTTAGTGGATCTAAACTTTCAAAAATCCTTGACCTGGGAACAGAAGTTAGCAGCAAACGAGGAGGAAGGAAACACAAAAAACAGCACCCATGAAGAAGTGCAAGAGCTGCAGCACTTTTGGCAAGGAGAATTGTTTTATGAAGGCTTGGTAGGAGTTGGAAGTGGAGTGATAGGGGGTGTCTTGGTGAACTTGGTGCTCTACTTCTTGCGGAAGACTTTGAGGAGAGCTGGAGAGAAATGAACTGAGATTTAATGCAATTTCTTGTCTCTGTCTCTTTATTAGTCTTGATGCAGTATTTCATGGCGATGTTCGTAATTTTTTTTTTTCTGGCTGACACAGTTTATTACCAAATATTTTCTTAAGCTTCAGAGTCTGCTTAGTATAAGACTGAGCACCAGAGCTTGAGTCTTAATGGAGTAGTGCAGACAGTATCTCCAGATGGGGCAAGGCAGTTTGCCTCCACGTTGTGTGAAAGGATGGTCTGGAATGGTCCAGGCAGGAGTTAGAGGACACTGAGCCAAGAAACTGCCCACTGCTCGCTGCTAACTACCCTGCCATGCTCCTCTACCTGGCCTCTATTTTACCTCTAGATGTTTGGGGTTTTTACTTAGCTAATAACTTGCGATCCTGATTCCTGTCTTATTTCCTCAAATTTCTTCTGCTTTGCCCAGAGCTCTGTGGTGATGTGAGCTGACACAGATCACTATTTGGTAGCTGGTGTTTCTCCAGCAAGAGGTGCAAAGAAGTAAGGACGCTTTCGAGGTGGGCTTACAAACCAGGTTTCCTGGCTGGTTGGTGTCCTTTCCATCAGATCCAAGTGGTCTGGTCTCAGTAGCCGTGGGGCAGTGTGGGGATAAGGGGTGGACCACCACTGCCTGCTTCCTCTAGAGAGATTTATCTCCCTCTGCTAGAGCCCAGAAAACTGTAAAGGATCTTCAAGTGATAGCTTGGAGCTTGCACTGTTTCCTTTGTAGTGTAGAGTAGCGAAGCAGGGAGCATTGGGTAGCACAAGCAAATCTTCAATTTGAGCGCTGCTGCTTAGGAACATAACTGGGTGTTTTTAATCATGGCTTAGAGCTGAGCTCTTTCCTAAAATCTTTAAAGGGGAGAAAGGGAGCTCAGTGGGCTTGTGAATCTTTCATTTTTCCTGGTGATTAATAAGTATAAAACACACAGCAACTTGCTAGTGAGTATTGTTTGCCTCTTGGTAGCAGGATCCACAGAGGGACCTATTAAGTGCCTTCTCTTTCTACTTTCTGTGTCTTATTTTACAGTAAACAACTATATTTACTAAGTCTGTTTCCTTTTTTTTTTTTTTCCTGTGAACTCAAGTAGAAGAATGCATAGGACACCCAATTCTGGAGAAAATAATGATAGGTCTCTAACATTAAAGATTGAAACATACTATTATTTTTTCTTTTTATCAGAACAACAAAAAAAGAACTTTAATACAGAAAGAAATGGATATAGAAGTAAGTACCTTATTTGCAGAGAATGATGTATAAAAAAATCAGACTGAAATGTAGTGAGCCAACCTTTCAGGTCAGTAATAAGTATATCAGGACAGTGATCAGTAGAGCCTGGGGTTGTCTAGCTGTGTTTGAGTGGAGCAGCAAGCCTGGCATCAGGCTTGAATTCCCAGTTTGTACTTCTGCTGAGTTCCCTATTTCTGCGGGAAGGCTTTAATGGGCACAGTAACCAGCAGAAGTTTGGAAACGTTGCAGGGAACCATTCTGCAGTGACAAAAGATGCTTTTGGGAAGATGCACTGTCCCTTCCTGATGCCTGGGGTGACCCTCTGGGAAGGGACAGGGGGGTTGTCACACAGTTGTGACAGACAGCAAGAGACTGTATGTCCTTCTTCTGTCTGGTGACCTGGTCCTGTGGGTCAGAAGCTCCTGGATGGTGATTGCGTGAAAGGTCCAGGGCAATCCATTTTCTTACTGCTTAGCTGAGGAGGTCAGAGTGGAAGCCAAAAGGGTCCGTCATCTTCTTATTGTGCCCTCCCTTTTTTTTTTTTTTTTTCCCACTGAGGGGAGCCAGATGCCCGGAGAAGGAAACATTAGTATATATATTTTTTTAATGCTTATTTTAAGATGGAGGGCTGTGATGGACAGTGTGGCTCCAGCTATCGGAAAGGATGGGACTGGGCCTCTTACTGGCATAGCTGCTGTTTGAAATGGCGCTTTCCTTGTATGCTTTTTGAGCTTTGCAGCAATCTCAAGTATGTTGGCTGATGTTTACATGAGCTGGGGGATGGAGGGAAAGGAAGGGAGAGCAGTCTGAGCTGAGGGAACAAAAAGGGAAGAGGGGAGGTCAGTGAAAGCAGCTGAAGCAAGGACCCTTTGAAACAGCATACCCTCCCCATCCCTACATTTCTTTCTGTCTCTTCCTGTAATCTGCATGTTTTCTTAGTCGCTGTCCCTGTTCTTCCCAACATAACTGGCTGAATTGCAGAAAAAAAGTATCTCTTTCTGCTCTGCATTGGTAATATGATGCCTAAACTTCTTTTTCCCACACTTGGCCAATTTGTCTGCCTCACCTGGAGGAGAGGATGGTGGGGACTGCATGCAAACCCTGCGTGCTACCCGTTCTCAGCTGGAGGGGTTTTTTGTGGTACAAACTTCTGCTGCCTGCTGATGGTCCTAAGTATTAGGAAGCGATTAGTATTGTACATACTAGAGCCAGACAGATTGTGTGAGGGAAGAAGTCAATTTGCTAATGGCATTAACACTTGGAAAGGAGGAGGTAATAACAGAATAGTGAAGCATAGGCAGCTGTTTAAATTGCTGTTAGCTACTGAAGCTTATCTAAATTGAGGAACTAGATAACTACCTGAAAGGAGGGTGTAGTGAGGTGGGTGTTGGTCTCTTCTCCCAAGTAACTAGCAAGAGGACGAGAGGAAATGGCCTCAAGTTGCATCAGGGGAGGTTTAGATTGGATATTAGGAGAAATTTCACAGAAAGAGTAGTCAAGCATTGGAACAGGCTGCCCAGAGAGGTGGTGGAGTCCCCATGCCTGGAGGTGTTCAAAAAACAGGCAGACGTGGCACTTGGGGACATGGTTTAGTGGACATGGTGGGGTTGGGTTGATGGTTGGATTGATGATCTTAGAGGCCCTTTCCAATCTTAGTGATTCCTAGATTTTACTTTCATTAAAAAATAATCCAGCCACCAAGCCGGGAAACATGAAACTAATTATTACTCTCCCCTTAACTGGTCTAGTGGTGGACTTGGTAGTGTTAGGCTAATGGTTGGACTGGATGATCTTAAAGGTCTTTTCCAACCTAAACGATTCTATGATTCTGTGATTCTTTTTGGTCTGTCTGTGCCAGTAAGCCATGCGGGTCTCAAGGGCTGGGGAAGGTAGCAGATGCATCTCATGCAGATCATTGCATTTGCTGGTGGCTCCAGCTTCTCCGCTGTCACTGCTGCCATCTGGCTGTTGTCTCTGTGTCATGACATGCAAAGGCTGCAGGGCTCATAGCAAGGGGCCACCAGACTCACTGGGGAGCTTATGGCTTGTGGGGAAACCTCTGGTTTCCAGCCATGTGCTTCCACCATGGCTCCCTTTTTCCCTTTTTCTGGGTGCAAAGGACCTGGCACACACTGCTGTTGTACCACTGCCTCGCTGATGCTCTATAACGAGGAGTGGAGCGGATAAGGCCATGGCACCACAAGCAGCATCTCACCCTGCAGGACACACAGCCCTGCGGTTTTAAGCTACCTGCACTGAAACCACATGGCAAACCCTCCACTGTTTTTCTTTTCTGCATCAACCAGCAAGACAACAGGGAGTGTGGTCATCTTTGGAGGAATCGATGAGTCTTATTTCACCAGCTCCATCAACTGGGTCTCCGTCACTTACAAAGGTTACTGGCAGATCTCCATGGACAGGTAAGAAAACAGCTCTGCTGGTCTATATTCATTTCTAACCATCATTTCTAAAGACACCTTGGACCCATCAACATCAGAGGCTTTCCACTGGCATCTAACACCCCATGGCTGTGGGATGCAGAAGGTTAAGGGGGCCAAAATCCATAGTACTTTGGTAATTGCCACCCAAAATTGGGATGCTTTGTGCCTGGGACACAGCCTGTTTCTTCTCTGCACAAAACCTGTGCTCTTGGGGATGTCTCTGGTGATAAGCAGAGCAAAATTATGGTCTAAAAACTACTTTGTTGCGCTCAGTTGAGTCCCAACTGCTGGGTTGTGTTCAGTGCTTCAGTGCCCACGTGTGCAATAGGGGCTGTGATACCAGCTGGCATTGCAAACTCCAAGAAGCAAAAGGCTCAAGGGCGACACTTTGGGTTATCCAGTTTTAACTCTTATAAAAGAGGTTAGAAAACATCACTAAGATCCAGCTGGTTATTAAATGGCCCCGTGCTTTGTTTGTGCCCCCAGCATCATCGTGAACAGCCGGGAGATTGCATGCAGTGGTGGCTGCCAAGCCATCATTGACACCAGCACTTCCCTTGTTGCTGGGCCACCCTCCGGCATTAGTATCATCCAGAGCACGGTTGGGGCTAGACAGGACACGTACGGAGAGGTGAGAGCACCCCCCATGGCTTGCTCTGCTTGCCCTGGAGGCAGCCTGGCACTGCCGTGCCCGGCACCAAGCCTGCTTCCACGCACAGGGAAACCACATCTTTGCTCAGGGCAAACCAGCCCTGCTCCTCTGGTACTTCTAATAGGGATCACCACGAGACACTCCTAGACTCTAGTTTGTACTGGTGAAATCAAACCACTTCACTCCTTGCCCTGTGAACATGTTGTTTCCCACCTAAGAGCCTCTTTCCTTTGCTCTCTACAGCACAACGTGAACTGCAGCTCCATTTCTGCCATGCCTGATGTCATCTTTGTCATCGTTGGGGTTCAGTATCCTGTGTCTGCCATGGCTTACATTGAGCAGGTAAGGGGGAACGAGGCGGTCCTGGTTTCAGGAGCCTCTCTCAAGGTCCTTCTACATTCTCCAATGGCTCTGGTCACCTTGGCTTCTCCCATTCCCATGGAAGACAGGGGATGGATGGCCATGGGCCTCCAGGGCAATGCAAGAAAAGATACTAGCCCACATTTCCCCCATTTGCCTTTTCTTGCTCAAATGCAGAATGACCAAGGATCTTGCATCAGCAGTTTCCAGAACACCTCTGGGGCCCTCTGGATCTTGGGAGACATCTTCATCAGGGTGTACTACAGCATCTTTGACCGGGCCAACAACCGCATTGGACTGGCCAAGGCTATTCAGATCCACCACAAGGCCAGCGGTGCTGTGGTTTCATCATGCAGTGAGACCACAACTATGCTTTTTGGCATAGCAAGAGATCCCCAAGGAATCTCTCGCTCACGCACAAATAAAGCATTGATGGTTCAGAGTTGGTGGCTGCACATTTATTTAGTAATTAGGCAGGAGCTGTCATACACTTGCTGCTTCATGGTGGCTGAGGAGCGTTTGGTCAACACAGTCTTGACTGAGGCCTTTGGGAGCTGCGGTCATAGCCTGCAGTGTCTGAGGGCAGGTCCTAGGAAGTCGAGATTGGCTCTTTTATTGGGGCTACATCAAGTGAGTGATTCTGGAAAACCCAAATTTCCATCCAGGGAGGATGAACTCGCCATCCCAGACAGAGCCTGTCTCGGAGCAAATCCCTGCAGACCCACAGTCATGTCCCACCAGTGGCTCACCCAGTAGCTCCCCAACCCTGGGCTCAAGGTTTGCCCCTGTGTCCCCTACATGGTGTCCGATAGCCCAAAACCATCTCAGGGCAGTGGCTCCCCAAGGAGGCTGTGGCTCGGCTGGAGATTTCCCTTGCCCTACCCAAGAGAGCAGGGCAGGAGATGGCTCTCGCCCAGTGTGTGCCTTCCCATCGTGAGCCTTTTACAGAAGCGCATCCATAGCTGTGTATGTGTAGAGCTGATGTCTTATTTCAGTTTCCATAGTTTAGAACAATCCAGTTACACTTAGTTGTTTCCCCTTAAAGAATCTCAATTAAGTGCCCTTTTCCCAATATTGAACCAGTCTATGCTATGAGATGGTCACCAAGAGCCTGGAAACACCAGCTAGTCCTCAGTTATAGTCTTTACTACTGTGCAAAAACCCCACCAAAACCTAATATATTTATTTTATGAGCATTTTCCCTTGCAATGGTCAGGACGGTTCCTTCTCTAATTTTGTTTCATTCCTTTAAAGTAGCGGTTCCCATTTTTGAAAAGGAAATTGCCTCCATCCTTATAAAATCCTATTAAAAATGGAGTCTGCCTCTTTCCTCCTGAGCAGCTGCAGTGAAAGTGCTCAGCAGGCAGCTGGGAGAGAGAGCCGAGAGTCCCTGCTGCTGCTTCATTGCTACTGTGCTGAGGGCTAAGGGGCTATTTGCATTATTGATTGGTAAGTGAGGTTCTATCACTGATGGGCCTCGGAGATTGCTTACCTGATTGCAACAGGGATGCAGAGGGAGAGATCCAGGCAAACGGGTTTGGAAATGAATCTTTCTCTCCTCTCACTGTGCAAAAGTTGCCCTCTCTTTGCGCTGACTAGAAAGGAGCGTACGATGTGGGATGGTGGAAATGCGATTTATCCCCCCCAGCTCCCTGAGCTCACACAGCCCTGGGTCACTGAGCCCCAGCATGTGGGAATCCCTTGTCCCCAAGAGCAACCCAAGCCTGGATTTTGGGCAGACGGGGCTTTACCTCAGCTCCATCACAGGAATTTTCTCATTGTTGTGAGCAACAAGAAATGAACCCTATGCAGTGGGAACCATGGCTCTGAGGATCGGCAACCCATGGGCCAGCCCCTGCCCCAGGAGGGACAAGACCCAAGGGAGCACCCAGGAGCTGGAGCTGCGCTCCTGGTGAGTGGGACAGGAAAGGGAAGCTGTGTCCTTGTCCCGGGCAGGACCAACAGCCCAAATGCTGTTGGAAGGAATAGTGTGGCCAGCAGGAGCAGGGAGGTGATTGTTCCCCTGTACTCGGCGCTGGTGAGGCCGCACCTGGAATGCTGTGTCCAGTTTTGGGCCCCTCAATGCAAGAAAGACCTTGAGGTGCTGGAGCATGTCTAGAGAAGGGCAGCGGAGCTGGGGAAGGGTGTGGAGCACAGGGCTGGTGGGGAGCGGCTGAGGGAGCTGGGGGTGTTCAGCCTGGAGAAGAGGAGGCTGAGGGGAGACCTCATCGCTCTCTACAACTGCCTGACAGGAGGGGGCAGGGAGGTGGGTGTTGGTCTCTTCTCCCAAGTAGTTAGCGATAGGACAAGGGGGAACACAGAAATGTCTGCCTGGTGGAAAATGGATGCTCCAGGGAAATTTCAGCTCAAAGGAGGAGGGAGATGCTTCTATATTGACAAATATTTCTCACATAGCCACAAGTTCTGACTTGGTCCAGGGATAAAAAGCAGCCAGGACATCTTTCTGATAAAGCAAAGAGGTGTGTTGTGGTGGGTTTTTGTTTTTGTTTTTTTTTTTTTTTGTCTTCTTTTTAGCTTTTTCAGTGGCAGTACAAAATTTCAAGTGGGAATTCAGCCTGCATGGTAGAGGACATGACAGATTGGCTCATTAACGCTTGACTCAAGAATAGTACAGTTAATAAGGGCCTTTTTTGGATTTTGTCGAGCTTTGAGCTTTGGGCCTGTATTTGGGAAGGTACTAAGCTGCAAATTGTATGGGAGAATGGGTTTTCTGGCAGGTTTTTATCAAGCACCAGCTGAGTGTTGACATTGGGTAGTCATAGCCTGGTTTTTCCTCCTCTTCACTTTAGGATAAGGCAGAAATAAGCTGTTGTGTCTGGAGAGGTTTAATGCCTTGTAGCATAAATCAGGGATCCCCCTTGGACCTGGCCTCCTGCAGCAGGCGGTGTAAGCCAAAGTGCTGGGGAAAGCCCGGCAGATTTTGTCCTCAGCTCACAGAGCTGAAGCTTTCAGGTCTATAATGCCCCGTGTCTCAACCCACACATGCTTCCCAGCTGGGTACCAGCTCCCTTGGAGCAGCACAAAGCCAAGAACGAAAAGTTGGGTCCAAATAAACAATATTTTCTGCATGCCAGACTTTGAAGCATCTAGTCTTTTATTTGAGAATAAAGTTTACAAGTTAATAAGAATCAGGTTGTTCATCAGTCCATCCATCCATCCCAGCACCATTTCGGTCCCTGTTTGCTAAGGGAGCTGGAGCAGTGAAGCTGTGCTCGTAGCTGATCAGGCTGAATTTTTCCCAACCCAAACCTTTACATCAGGGTTTCTTGTGGTGACTTCCCAAGGAATAAGCACCAAAAGTGCTTCAGGTTTGACAGGCTGGGAGTGAAGTTTGGGGAGGGGAGCACTAAAAAAAAAAAAAAATAAAAGAATGTAAAAAGTTCAAATTTTCTAGAGGAAAAGGAGAAGGACCCTGCTATGAAATAAAAAGAGTGATGTGGCAGAGCTGCTGGAGGGACTTGAGGGGTGAATGGAGAGGAGCTGGGGATGTCTTGGGCTGCTGTGCTCCAGCTGTGCCTCCTCCAGCCATCCCCACAGCTGATGAGAATGTGAACACGGTGGGAAAGAGATTAAGTAGCTCTCACAGCTCCTCCTCCTGTCCAGGATGATGGTCTGGGGATTGCAAGTGATGGGGTGAGGAAGAGGATGGTGGAGAGATGGGAAGACGCCAGGGAGACCAGGCAAAAAGGGGGATTTGGCCCAGAGGGAAACACTGTCCTGAAGGAGCTGTGCTGGTCATGTCCCAGATTCAGCTCCCTGGGGTGCGAAAGACCTCACTGCAGAAAGACAGTCCACAAAAAGGCCCAAAAACCAACATACCCCCCCCCACCCCCGCAGACCAAAGCCAGCACGAGCTCTGCAGCAGAGCTAGCAGGATGCAGGATTTCTGCCACAGGGAAAATCCCAGCACACACATTTTTCATCAAACCAGGAATTTAAAAAAAAAAATCAAATCCATCTTTCATGACTTCTTTCGGAATGAAATTGCAAACCAGAGATGCTGGCACATTGTGTAATGATCATGTTGAACCTTTAGGAGATGAGACATCAAGTATAACAGATGTGGGATATAAAAGCAGCTGTGTAGACACTGCACGAGAACCTGTGATTTTTAATGTAGGCAGAAACATCAAAAAAAGCTAAGTGAAACAGTGAAGCTGGAACAAAATGTTTTTGTTGGAAGAAAACCTGCTGGCTTTAGGGAGAACGGCTCGATGAGCTGTTGCTGGTTTCTCCCATCAAAGGTGCCAATGGAAATTTGCAGGGTTTAGCAAACCAGAAGTGCCTTTTTACAATGCGAAGCCAAGCTGTCGGGAAATGTCAGCCCTCATTACTCTGTGCCCCATTTGTGGCAACATAAGGGCCAATAAAAGCTACAAGGTCACGGTGGCTTGTCCCCAAAGGACATTTGCACACCAGATAACCCCTGAGTCCAGCATTTTTTGCAGGAGAAATCCCCTTCCCTCTCTCAGAGCTCGGTTTTCCATCAGAAACCCCAGTGGGCACTGAGCCACTGTGCCCCGGACCGTTTTTGGTGGCCATGCCACCGTGACCGGTCACCATCCCTCTCCTCCTAATCCCCCCACACAGTGGCTTGGTCGCATCCATCCCTCCCCACCCTGCTGTGCCAAACAAATTGTTTAGGCAGGCAGACCAGGGAACTCATCCAACTAAAACTGTAACTTTTAATTTTTTTTTTTTTGCCAGTTTATTTTTCAGTCTCAGATCTGAGATTTGTTGAGACCCAGATCCTGAGTGGTGGGTGGGGAGGAATTATTTAAAATGGATTAAGAAAAGCAGGGAGCGGGACCCATCTTCATCCCTGGACAGCTGGATGCCACCAAGCAAAGCATTTAATGTAATTTTGCCCTTTTTTCCCCTTCTTTAAATGGGGGAAATCTCTGTATGTGGAAAACTCCGTTCTGATGCCATGGACAGAGAAGCTAAATATCAAGCAGATGAGCATCAAATAATAAAAAACAGACTGATGGGCAGGGAAGAGAGATAAGAAAGATGGTATTTATTTGAACAGCCACAGGAAATCAGAGATTGAAAAATGTCTAGAAAAAAAAAAAAAAGCAGCAGCACATTTGGTTTAAAAAAAAAAAAAATCAGAGCGTGCAGATGTTTTATACCTTATCCAGCCAATCCCACCTGACAGTGTCTAGTCCCATCATGGCCTTGACCATCATTTTTTGGCCTTGTCTCGAGGGTAACCCCCATTGGTCTTATTGAGTGACTCCATGCTGCCATTTGCCGTCACCACGCTGGTCAGTATTCGCTCTACCTCCCCGGGCAGAATTTGCTTCTCTTCGTTCTCTGTCTCCCTGTGGTAGAAATAGTTGAAGTTCGAGACGATGACAGGGACGGGCAGTGCAATGGTCAATACCCCTGCAATGGCACACAGAGTCCCCACGATCTTCCCACCCAAGGTGGTGGGACACATGTCTCCATAGCCAACCGTTGTCATCGTGACCACAGCCCACCAGAAGCCATCGGGGATGCTGGAGAAATGGGACTGCGGCTCATCCACTTCTGCGAAGTAGACGGCGCTGGAGAAGAGTATGACACCGATGAAGAGGAAGAAAATGAGCAAGCCCAGCTCCCGCATGCTGGCCTTGAGCGTCTGCCCCAGGATCTGCAGCCCCTTGGAGTGCCGGGAAAGCTTGAAGATGCGGAAGACCCTGACCAGCCGGATGATCCGCAGGATGGCCAAGGACATGTTCTGCTGCCCGTTGAGTTCGCTCTGCTGGATTAGCTCAGTGGTGAGCGTCACAAAGTATGGGATGATGGACACAATGTCGATAATGTTCATAATGTTCCTGAAGAACTCAGTCTTGCTGGGGCACACGATGAACCGCACGAACAGCTCAAAGGAGAACCAGATGATGCAGGCTGTCTCTATGACAAAGAAAGGGTCCGTGAAGGTGCTGTGGGCCAGCATGGTGTCTGTCAGATTCTTAGAAAGCTCCTGGGTGGACTTAAATTCCCTTTCCTCCCTGAACTCCGGCAGGGTCTCCATGCAGAAGATGATGATAGAGATGACAATGACTAGGACGGAGACCAAAGCCACACCCCTGGCTGCACTGGAGCTTTCAGGGTACTCGAAGAGCAGCCAGAATTGCCTGTGAAAGTCATTGGTTGGTAAGAGGGTCTCAGGGTCCTTGATGAACCCTTCATCCTCCCTGAACTGGTCCATGGCTTCATCACCCAGCTCATAGAAGGTGATTTCATCAGCAAAGACATCGATGGGGACATTGGCTGGGCGCCGTATTTTCCCACCGGACTGGTAATAGTACAAGATCCCATCAAAACTGGGCCTGTTCCTATCGAAGAAATATTCATTCCTCATGGAGTCGAAGTAACGCATCCTCTTCTCTGGATCCCCAAGCAAGGTCTCAGGGAACTGGTTGAGGGTCTTGAGCCGCGTCTCAAACCTCAGCCCAGCGATGTTGATGATGACCCGTTGGTCCCCCTCATCCATGCCCACCCTCTCCCCCACCAGGTGCTCACTGAACTCGGCAGAGAACCTGGAGAAAATGGTCTCATTGTTGGCATTCTCGCTGTTGATGAGGATTCTCAAGTTGGAGAGGAGGTTGGCGCAGCTGGGATGGCCTTTCCGCGACTGGCCAGCGGGGCTGAGGTCGTTTGAATAACAGGGATCCTCCACGATCTGATCAGCGTTGTCAAAACTGACTAGTGCCACCTCCATCTCCTTCCAACTGGACACGTCCATCATACACTAATCAGATTAGCAGCATAAATCCCCGGGTCGGATGCCGGCAGCTTGCGTCTTTCCCACGCTATGAGGATCTGCAAGTGAACGGACAGGGAGAGAGCGAGCTGAATTGTGCATATGTAGCTCTTGGCTCGACTGAAAAGAATAAAACAAACCTGAGGTCAGAAAACCCTGTATTTTTTTAATGCAAACATTAATTTCATTGACTGGCAAAAGCCTTATACTTTTCGTCGTTCATCTCTGGATCCTGCAAGCCCTTTTGGCATGGCTTCATTATCATCGTTAAACCTCCCAATACCATTTACAGCACCCAAGGATGAAAGGTCAGGCAGTAGCAGAGGATGAGGGTGAACCCAGGTGTCCCACCTTTCCCCAGTGATCACAACCTTGCAGAGCAAGGCGTCATGTCAGACATTTCCAGGTGCTGGTCCAGAGTTTGGAGCAGGATTTGGAGGTATTAAGCATGGGTGTCCTGGTTAGCAGCAGCCCTTGCCCCAGCTGGGAGAGGCATTGGGTCAAACCCCAGCAGGTCCTGGGCAAAGTTGCAGCTGGGTCAACCAGTGCTGGGAAAGCAATTCCCAAACTAGGGGCCACACTGGGATTTGGGGAGTGCAGTCCATGAGGAAGGCAGGTCAGGAGGAGAAGGACATCTCCACCAGCCTTGGAGAACCCCTTTGCTCTGCGTGAAGAGGGGTACGAACTGGAACCTCTTGTCTTGATCCAGATTTTGGGGTAGGCAGTGGATAAGATGATGTCCTCCAGAGCTCTCCTAGGCCTCCTTCATGGTAGACCTGATATTCCCAGCCATAGGAAGAAGATGAGGACTAAACGCTCAGGCCACTTGGAGTGCATCTTTCAGGCCATGGGGTGGATTTTTTCCCAGATCAGCTCTGGCAGGTGCTCAGCAACAGACACCGTGTCCCCAGAATACTCTCAGGTGCACGTCTCCCCAACACGCCGCTGCTGTTGTACTGAACAGAGGCAAAGTCAAAGAGGAGCCCAGGGACCAAGCCAAGTTATGGAGCTGGGAAATTACCTGTTCCTGCCTCAGGGAG